AGGCATTCAGTGGACTTCAGCCACCCATGGTGGCTGAATAAGTGAATCAAAACACTGCAGAAATAAACTGCTGGTGTGCCCAAGCCAGAGTGCCAATGGTCAATGGCTGAGATCACCAAATTTCATGTACCTGCACGTGGCTTGCAGCCTGGGTCACTCGCAGTGGCCTGTGTGCTTGGGGTGAGCTCTGTTGTCTTTTGCACATTAGGAGCCAGCTCGTTCCCTGAAGCTGTGGAAGCACATGCTGCTGGCTGGGAAGGACCTTGCTTCAGCCTTGGGCCATGAAGGCAGGTGTCACACTGCCACCTCTGCTGCTGCCACTGCCACAATGACCAAAGATGTGGTGCCAGGATGTGTTTCACCAAGCAGGGATGTCGCTGAAGCAACTCCAGATTGACAGGCAATAGCTGTCCTTTCCCATATGGAAATGTCACATGCTCCTGAAGGATTGGAGACTGCTACTGAGATCCCTGGTGTTGTACAGGACCTGCCACAGTGACAGGTTCTCATCTAGCCAGTAGATGTGTGCTTCTCAAGGAGAAAATTACAGTCTGGGGAGGCACTCTGTGGGCTCAGTGTGTACAGGAAACAGCAAACAGAAGACGGCTGTGGTGTTGGAGAGGAACATGGCATGGTTGCATGAGTCAGTCTGGTATCAGAGTATTAGAGAATAAATTGCACTACCCCCAACCTTAAGGACTGCAGATAATGCGCAGGCAATGAAGTTTTATCTGTGCTCAAGTACATATTTTTTATGCAGCTAAAGCTATGTTGCAGATGTTCTTCACTAGAATAGATTTTGCCTTTGCTAATCCTGCATTAATCTGCTGGCAGAGCTGGAGCTGCGTGATTAGCACTGGGCTCTTTGCAGAGAGGAGCCTCTGCTCACTAAGGGCTCAGTTCCTGGCAGAGCTGAGCTGGGGTTCGGGCTGGCTGTGCCGGGAGCACCCCGTTCCTGCTCCGGTGCAGTGCTCTGCCAGGAGAGGGAGCCTGGACTCTGGCATTCAGGGGCCTTTGATGGCTCTGTTCACAAACCATGAAGGTGTTACAGCTGCCCATGGTTAACCTAGGCTTTGCTGTGTGACTGAGCGCGTGTTCAGTGGGCTGACGATTTTCTATGGAGGCCACCTACCGAAGATGTGTTTGGTTCCTGCCAGAACTCGGAGGACTCTGGTGCTCTGAACAGTGTTTTGAGTCTCTCAGTCCCTTTTTTTGATTGCTTCACCGGGTGAACTCCAATGGGAGTTTGGGTTGGCTGAGAACAAGCTGAAGCCTACAGATTCTGGAATCATGCAGTAGGTTCAAAGCCACTGTTAGAGTGGAGAAGGTGACCAATGGGTGCATAGCAAGGCAAGCAATGGCTGGGAGGAGGGAAATTTTTTGGTTAAGGCTACCATGTGGCAAACAGATGTTGGAGAACATTTCTTTTAACCTAAAAACACATCACTTCTTCCCCCTGCAGTATATGTGTTTCATTTTGAACAAGTAACTGGCAGCTGGAGAAAGTTATTAGAAAATGCTCTGTCTATATTCCAGCACTTGCAACAGCAGCAAAATTACCTATTTCCTATCCTGCCCGAGCTTTCTGTCTCCTTTCTTAGATATTGTTGGCCTCAAGTCAAGTTTTACTTAAGTTATGCATCAGAAAGGGAATAAGTGGAGCTCCAACCTTGTTTAAAGTGTAGAAAAGGGAGTTTAAACAAAGCTGGCAGAGATACTGACTCAACTATTATCTAGGTTCTGGATGTGGTTGGACCTTCTGGTAAAAAAATCAGGAAATAAGTGAGAAAGGAACTCTTAAAAGGTGAAAACCAGCCAAATCTACAGGGCTCCACTCTGTGTTCAAAAGTCTGTAAGTACTGATAAAAGAGCACACGTGATGTGAAATGCTGTGTCATTCTCACCAGCCCTTTCAGTCTTATTATCGTTTCAGTTTTCTCCGAGTTATGAATTCATGTCTGGCAAGGGAAGAGCATACTAGTGAAATCTGGTAGTGTTTCCTACCTGATTTGAAAGTAAGAACAGAGTAATTTGTTTGGGACAGTTTTGGAAGTTAGAAGAGCTTCTCAGACAGAGTGGGGCTTTGTTAGCCAGGAAGGGGCCAAGCTAGAGAAAATATTGTTGAATAAAGCACGGTGTGAGCAGACACTGGAACCAGTAAATAGTAGAGAGCCTCCTGCCTAAGAAATGCATTTTACTGGCTCTGTTATGAGTAAGACAAATCTATGATCTGTTGCCCTTGTTGCACATTACCCTGTGGTCCAAGGGGTCGGCTTTGGCTGCTGGTAGCCACCAGCTGGGAGGCACCAGCAGGCACTGCAGAGCACTGGGAAAGAAGCTGCTCCCAGAGTAGACAGTAGCCACCAGGGTGCTATTGTTAGCCAGGCCCCCAAGTTTATGGCTCTTAGTATTTCTGTCTTCAGAAAGGGCTCTAACTGATAAGGATGAATGGTGTGGACTTGTGCATGCAAGAGCTATGGTTGTGACTTTCTATCTCTGTACCAGCCAACAAGTTATTATAAAAATAAATACCTCAATGGCAGCAGCAGCATCCCCAAGGATCTATTTACTTCCACTGGCACAAACTAATTCCTGCAGAAGAGCTCAAGCCAAATCCTGCAGAGAGCAGCGGGAATCTCTCCAGGCTCTTGCAAAGGCAGTTTGCACACTGGAGAAAATGCTGGTGCTTGGTCATATTTATTGCCATGTCAGTTAAAACATGTTGTCAGTTAACACCTTCCCTAACACAACATATATTTTCTAAAACTGAAGGAAAGTGAGATTTTTTTTACCTCCTTTTATTCTTCAGGTAGTTATTCTGATTTATTTCTGAAATTGCAGAACACACTAAATGCTGGTTCATGAAGTGGCCAGGGATCAATTATTACCTTTTCATGTGCAAACCAATCTTAAGGTATCTATCAATCTCTTATAGTCCTATCTACGGAAGATATGTTCAATTTCAGAAAACAGAAAACATATAAGGGAAGCTAAGGCAGGGTGACATTTGCTTTCCTTGGCTTGCTCTCTAGATGTTTGATGGGTGAGTTTATTATCTATAAGAACAATGAACAAGCCAATATGCCCTTTTCAAGGTTTACAGGTGCCTTAATGTAACTTGCTCATTTAATTTGGATCTATATCCTCCTGAGAAGGACAGAAGATTTTCATTTTCAAGGCCGTATTTAGCCATAAAATGTGTATCCCATTAGCTAAGAGCAGATCTATGAATTTCATTTCATTTGGTGACAGGAGAAATAGTGATGTATGTATCACCCTCTCAATAACTGCTATTAAAAGGTGTGTGTTTCGTGAAGAAACAGTGTGTTCCATGTCATAACATCTTTCATGAAATATAATTCAGGGCATTTGTAGCATAAGTATTTGAAAAGTATCAGTTAACTCTTATTTTAAGAGTGTGGGGAAAATACAAGCCCCTTTTGTGGCTGGAGCTGGCCACCTGAAAAATTAGGATGGATTTTGCTGGCTCCAACAAAGTCAGTAGGAGATTTTCTATGGCCTCAATGGGGCCAAAAATTCTCCTAGATTTCATACTATTATAGATATTGTACAATTTAGCCACCAAGGTCATTAAAATGCTATAATCCCTTGTGTGATACATGATGGGGTAAAAGCACTTACAAAGGTATTGCTTTCTAAACTGGTGTAATTATAGTGGTAATTCCCAGAGAAGTATTGCAAATGCATTTCCAGTTCCAGTTTCTCAATTTTTTTGTCAGTGTTCATTACAGTAGTGATATGCTTCTGTCTAAATCTTGTTGATGTCCTTCCAGAGGGCACTAAAAACCCTAGAATAAGTAAAGAAAAATTTAGTTGATGGTTCTGACTGGTTTCTGAATTGCTGCCTTTTGAGCCCTGTCCCCCAGCTCATAATCTATAATGTTTCCTCTTAAGCTACACATCCTACTCGCTCCTTGTTTATATTCATCCCCTTACAGTTTGTCTAACTTAAAGAGAATTAGGGAAAAAAAAGAAGAAAATTAAAGTCCTTGCCACACCAAATGTGGATGCTTTGAGAGAGCTGTCGATACTGAGCTGCATTTTCAGTCCCTGGGAAGTTTGCAGCTGGGCACAGCTGCCCTGCGGGGCAGTGGGGGCTGCTTTGGTTGGGCTCTGGTGACAGAGTGTGGGGCTCAGGCTCAGAGCAGAGGTCTACCCCTCCTGGCACTGCAGAGAGCAGGAAGCTTCTCAAAGTACCAAAAAACCACTGAGCTGTGATCCTTCCTTTTCTGGTTTTAAGAATGGAAAGGACATCAGGTCTCAGAATTCTGGCAAAAAGGATTCAAACTTAAATAAACATGAGTCTTGTAAGGGGTGAGAGGAGAGCCTGACTGTGATGGTGATCCTCTCAAAAGTGATGAAAATCAGCTAGAGGTAAATAAAATTAAATGTTGTCTTTATGACAAGTGAGAAACCTGATCTTAGGGCTCACTTATTTTTAACCTTGCAGTTGCACCATATTCCTCAATGGCTGGAGATGAGGCACAGAGGTGTAGGAAGGTCTGATATTTTGCTTTTGCCAGGGCTTGTAATTAGCTTCACATGCTCTGTACATGGGTGAAACACGAATTTCCATCTGCTCTGAAGATGTCTAGATGTGCACTTCTCTTCATAAATCCACCTTCTTTCTACTGCTTAACAAAACTCTCAGATGTTATTTGAACAAAGAAGTGCTGTTCTTGATGAAGAAAAACAGGAATAAGCCCAGGGTATTTATTCTTTTTTTTTGAGTGCTTCAGTCCTTTGACTAATGCTGGCAGGATTTCTGCTCCTGGTGTGTTGCAGAGCTTCTTCATGGGTGCTACCAAATAAATACATCAGTTTGGAAGATGATTTCTTACAACTGCCTGGCAAATTGCAGTGACACCGTCAACTCATTCCTCACATGCCTTTATCAGACAGATACCAGATTAAAGATTAAATGAACAATACCTACTTTGGTCAGATACAAGATTAAACATCAAATGAACAATACTTACTAGGCCGGGATTTGAAACAGTCACTGGGTTCACTGTAGTTTTACATCTCCTCATTAGCCCCAGTCACCAACAGAAAACATTGCAACAAGGAACTTTGTGTCTTCTGAGGTAGAAAGAAACCTGCAAATAATAACATTTTGATTAAATACATCCCCTGAAAGCTGGTGGTGTCTCAAACAGATTGCCAGTTTGGACTTTCAGAAACCATGCAATTCAGTGTTTCTTAAGAATGAAAAGCTTGCTTTACATTTACAAACATTTACATCTCACAATTTCATACACTCTTTTCTAATAAATAAAGCCAGGAATTTCTATTTTTTCTTCAACAAGAATTTTGATGATGTTTAGTACATGTGTATAATACACAAAACTAGAAAACCCGTGACTCTCTCCTGAGAGTTCTGACACACACGTGGATCCAATTGGTCAATGAATCCAAACAACCATCCCCAGAATCCAATCAAGCAATCACCTTGGGTAAACAATCTCCATACCACATTTCACATGGGCACAAACACAGCAGCAGCGAATGAGATAAGAATTGTTTTGATTCTCTTTTCTCTGCTTCTCTCACAGCTTCTCTCAGGAGAAATCCTGAGAAAGCCAAGTCTCTCTCTGCTCAGAGGGTATGGGAATACCACACACAAACGTCTGTGAATCCATGTTTACAGCTTTGTGGGAAGTTAAAGAGACATAAAGGTGAGAGCATTGACCTGGGATTCCAAGAGCTATCACCATGCTCCCACCTGGCTGGGAAAGACCCAGTTATTCCACAGGTTTTGGATTTAATTGTGGGGATTTTTGCTTTTTGACTTGAGGTGATTTGGCTGGCATAGCTAAGAAGCCACCACATTCTAGGCCAGATGTCCAGTCTTTACCCAGCAGGTGCAGCAGCCCTTGGTGACTGTGGCAGTTTGTACCACGGTACAGGAGACACGCCATGGGTTTAGCAGCTCTGTTGGCCATGTAGATGAGCAGAGCACAAATCAAGCCCTTTAACCAAGACTTTGTGAAGCAGAGGGCTGCCATATATTTCTTTGATATAAAAGGACTCAAATCTCCCAACTGGTGGCTTTGGTTGCTATAATAAAAATTTTACTAAAATTAGTGCCTGATATAGCAAATAATTTTTTAGTGATAAATAGCTTGATCAATTCTATGAGAATGACAGAGAACTTGATAGGACATATAATCTACTGGGACAGCAGGAACTCTCTGTGGTTACTCATGTATCTACATGGGAAAGAGGAAAACAAGAAAATGTAGTGCTTCAAGCATATTCTAAACAGATCACTGTGCAGAAAAATTCTCTCATCAAAGAAATCAAAAGGTTTATAACAGGGAGAGGCAGTGCTTGCTCTGCAGTGACAGCTTCATGTTTATTTATTCTAGAAAGAATAAGAAGGAGATACTAAAGTAAGGACAGGATAATTTTATTCCCAAATCAAATAAAGGAACACAGAGTGTGTTCTCAACAAAGTGATTACTTTAGGTGGAACTAATACAATGAATGTTATTAAATTAAACAACTTTTTATAGGGTATCTCACATTAAGGATTTTAATGTAAGTAATATTTCTGACAGGCAAAATGATGCAAGACAAAATAGCTTTTATAGAGGTGCTCCTTAGTACAGATATTCCTGTAAAAATGTATTCTATCTAATATACTTCCTCTGTAGCAAATTATCATTTCGCTTAACAGCTCTGAGAAACAGGGATGTCAGGAGCAAAGATGACTATTCTCCTCTCACTAGATGCCTGAAATCTTTGATTTTAAATTAGCTTTTAGGTGCTAGTACACATAAAGCTGAAGTAAATGTCTGCTCAGCACAGATAGCTGGGAGAAATCCTCAGCTCTGTAGGAGCTGTCTTCAGTGCAAATCCCAGTGCCTTGCCTGTCTGCCCTACCATGGTGTGGGAAGCCTTAGGAGCGAACCCTCGCAGTGCAGAGCGCGAGGTGCAGCTAAGCTGATTTTTTACAGAAACCATCCTTTCTCACTGCATTTACTCACACTGGCTGTGCAATCAGAGCTAAGAAATGTGGACCTACTGCATCTTTTCCTATCCTGAAATGGACATCCGTATATCACCACACTTGAAGACCTAGAGCTACGTTTTATTATCCTAGAATCTGAGAGGTCTCCAGGGGTAATTATGTATAAAATGACTAAAACATCTTGCCTCAGGTGCAGAGTTCTGGAAAACCATGTCTTCTCTAAGGGTTGTGAGAATGAGATGAAAAAGCCTGACTGCGTCGTCTTGTATTGTTCCCTCCAGTGCCTTTGCTGGTAATTTATCAAATCTGTATTTATCTTAGCATTTATATATGGCTCCCATTGCACCACTTTGCAATATTCAATTCCTTTATTCTCACAAGGGCCCTATCTGGTATATTCTGCATCACATCTCACGCAGTCTTGAGGAGAAGGATCATAGCAACAGAAAATGACAGGAATGTAGTCCCTTTTACTTATTTGCTACCTCAATCTCTAAATTGTGGTTAGATGCTTACTAGATAAGGCTTCTGTCTCTCGTGTGGGAAATATTAAATAAGTACAAGGAAACTGAGTTTAGAGATATGAAGGGCTCAGAGTTGTCCTCAATTTTCTGCTACTTTCTTCCAAAATATTGAGGACTTTTCAGGAGCTAGAGAATTTACACTTCGTGTCACTGCAATTATTTGCTCAAGGTCTATTGCTTTTATTATTCAGGAAATTTGACCACAAAATGCACATGTGCTTTTTGTGCTGGGGTATAATTTTATTTTTGTAAGGCACTTGCTGAAATAAGACCTGCATGTTTTAACCCAATTTTGTGTTGTAATTCTTTTACTTTCTCAATAAAAATCTAAAGAAGCCTCTCAAAAATTCTACACAAAACAAAGAAGCAAAAACCAACAAATAAATAATCAATTTCCCCAAACATTTTTTTCTCCTTGTATTGCAAAGGATTTCTAAATGCTTTAATCCTTGCTCTGACCAAATATTACTAACCCAAGTGCTGAAATCCCATCTTCAGTGGTTATATGTGGAGACAATAGAGATCTCTTCTCCAACCCAACTCTTCTCTGGGACAAGAGATTTTGAATCTTTGTGGTTCCTGAAGTATTGGATAATCCCAGAGAAAGACTGTTTGGGTTGGGTACAGAACCAAGAGCAAATTGTTGGGCAGGGCAGTGCCTGCCTATTTTCTTTATAATTCTTTCAAGGAGGGAAGCATAGCATATGCTGTTAGCTATTTATTCTCATTCTGGCTTCACAGAATCATGGATGGATGCAGACAAGTTACACAAGGAAAAACAGGACTCAAGAATTCTACCACTTAAGGAGAGCTTAAGTGGTAAAAGCACTATCCGAGAACAATGGAGGATATATTTTGCATGGAAAATATATTTCTGGTGGGCCTAGACTCAATAATTAACCTTGGAATTCCCCAGGTTTTTATTAGCAAAGCACACTACCTTCAGTCATAGCACTTACAGGTAATGTCAGCTCCTGCTGTCAGAAACCACCTGTGCTGGCTTGAGTGGTTTATTGGTCACTTGCACAAGCTATCAGCCAAAGTACAGTGGAGTAATAACACAGATTATGAGAAAGTCTGCTAGAACTCTTTCAAAAAGTTAGAAAGTTACCTACAGATATGGAAAAGGAGGTGCAAGCTCTGGCACTTTCATGTCTAACCCTAAAACAGCTCTTCTCTCCCTGTTGATTTGATAGTAATTCAAGTTTTGAATAATACATTGGAAAGACTGCGATCTTGAGGACTTGTTACAGACATTTTCTCAACAGTCCTAATCCAGAATGGAGGCTGGAGGCTTTGGCTACAGGCTAATTGTTGATTCTTGTTTACCCTCTGGGCACTTTTCACAGTTCTGGCAGAAAAAACAGCCTTGAAGTGTTTGTAAAATATGGAATACATTTGCATCCTAGCAAATGAGAAATGAGTCCCAAAGTCTTAATGTTAACGTTGGTATGAATGTAAATTTAATAGACCTGCAGTTTTTCCCTAACAGCCCTCATACCTTCTCTTTGTGATTCACAAGAGAAAACAACCCTTCAATAAAAAAATATTTTAACCCTATAACCATGCAAAGAAGTATTATCACCCTGCGGAAGAAAGAGCATAAATTCGGTGTTATTTTCCATTTGTTTTTATTTTATCTTTCACACACAACAATATAAGCCTTCCCATCACTCCTGCTATTAACATATGGAAAAGTTCAACTGCAGAATTTGCCCCAGTGAGAAGATTCTCTGACTTGTTCTAAACCACAAATGTTAATGCCCAGACTGCCAAGAGGTATCGTTCTTTCATTTATGAATGCACATTTATGAATTTCTGGGGATGCTGAACTGACTACATATTGTGAGATAAGGACAAGTGCTGATGAGACTTTAACCATCCCCTTTGCAGACTTTGTATTAAGGGGTTTGCAATGCACATATTTTATTATAAATAAATGCATCAAAAAGTGTATTAAAAACACCTCTAATATCACATATTGATTTCACATCTTGTGTTTTGTTGGAACTCAAATTTAAACATGGCAAGTGCAACTGGATAAAACACTTCTCACCAGCTTTGTACTTTTAGAGAGATTATTTAATTTACTTTGCTGGATTTTTCTCACTGACAAACCTGAAGTACAACTGAAAATGACAGACTACCAAATAGCCAGTGAAAATTTCTTCTTGCCAGGCAAAGAATGGACATAAAGAATTTATCAGTGGGCTGAAGGGCAGATATTCTCCAGTCTCATTTTAAAAGTTCATCCCTAAATCAAGGCAAATAATAATTAAAAGAAATTAAAAAATATATTTAAATTTCAGTAAGTTCCAGTATGTACAACATGCGAGTAGTTTAGCTTTCTCAGCACTTCAAGATGCTTGAAAACTGAGCTATAAAGGAAACTAGACACCCAATTTGCAATGGAAATATATAAGATGATGAATTGGATTTAATAGGCTCCAGTAAATCATAACATTAATGCTATTGCATGATACTTCACCTTAGCACCAGATTAAAAAAAATCTGTCTCAAGCTGAAAAACATACTCTAAACCCTCCAAGTGTGCGAAAAGAGCCAATTACTATGAGATCTGTAAGCATTTTAAGCACAT